AACAATAACAAGAATAGTAATACAAGAATTATTCTAGAATGGGTAACATTTCAAGGGTAAATGCTAGTGAAAATTGGACAAGGGATAGTAATGATCTTGGGCGAAGATCAAGTGTAACAATATAAAGGGGGAGCTGACGAAAATGAGAGACCAGGGCCTGATACTAGAATCACTGAGCCCCTGGGCATCACCAATCGTAATGGTAATGAAAAAGAATGGTAAGTGCTGCCTATGTGTGGACTATCATAAATTAAATGCAGTAACCAAAAAGGACACGCACCCCTTACCCAGAATCGACGATTTAATCGAGGCCCTTGGGCAGGTAAAGTGGTTCTTAAACCTCGACCTCGCTAGTGGGTACTGGCAAGTGCGAGTCCAGGAGAGAAACTGCGAGAAGATGGCTTTCATGACAAAATTTGGAACGTACGAATTCCAAGTGATGCCGTTCGGGCTATGCAATACTCCGGCTATATTCCAGAGACTGATGAACAAGGTACTCTACGATCACATTGACAAATTCATGGCCGTATACCTCGATGACATCATCGTGTACTCGCGGACGTTTCCAGAACACACTAGTTATCTGGCCTGTGTTTTTAAAGAGCTACGACAGGCCTCGTTGAGGTTGAACGTGAAAAAATGTAAGTTTTTCTTACCGAATGTAGGGTTTCTAGGCCATGTCGTGGGAAGAGACGACATCCGGCCAGACGAGGACAAGATAGTGAAGGTAAGAGACTTTCCAGCACCAGGGAATGTGTGGCAACTATGAAATTTTATTGGGCTTGCCTCCTACTATCAGAGGTTTATTAGCGGATTTGTGACGATAGCCAAACCGTTGCATCAATTACTCGAAAAGAATGTATGGTTTGAGTAGACAGATAAGCAACAGTTAGCATTTGAACGATTAAAGACCCATCTGACGACCGACCCAATTCTCCGGTATCCGAATTTTGAAAAGACATTTTACCTGCACATCGATGCATCTGGGATGGGGTTAGGGGCTGTGTTGGCGCAGATCGACGACGCAACAAGGGAGTATGCAATCGCATACGCCAGTAGAAGTTTGACGAAGGTCGAAAAGAACTATGCTGCGACGAAGCAAAAGTGTCTAGCCGTGATATGGGGAATTGAGTATTTCCACCACTATCTCGGCACGAAACCATTCGTGGTGGTAACTGACCACTCCGCACTCAAGTGACTGGAAACTTCCAAGTTAAAGAGTAGAAGAGCGCGATGGATCCTCCGTCTTCAGCTGTACCGCTATACAATAGTCCACCACTCGGGACGAAAGCATTCGAACACTGATGTGTTATCTCGTTTAACCATCCAGGAGAAACGGGAAAGTAGCGCCACCGGCGGGGAGGCAGGAAGTCGAGATAAAGAGTCGGACTTACCTGGACCGCTGAACAAGGACTTAATTTATCAAAACGACGTGGAGGGCGCCACTAATCTTGATTCGCTCAACCACTACCATAGAATCTGACGGCAATCACTATGAGACAAAAAGCGACAGCAATAATAAAACAACAAAACGACAATGACAATAGCAATATGCGATGGCAATTGACACGATATCAAAAAAAAAAAAAAACGAAAAATCTAAGGAACAGAATCCAGTCCAGGTTCCGGTGTCCTGGCTAGAGAAAAAAAAAAAAAAAAAATCTAGAAACGCGATGGATGAAGAATGATACATACAGCTGAAAAGATACCTACAAGAACAACGGTTGCCGACGGGATGCTCGCGGCAACAAGCCCGGAGGATACGGGCACAGAGTAGCTTTTTCGCGGTAAAAGAGGGAGACATTTATAAGAAGGATAAGCACCGACCGGGGAACCTACTAAAGGTGCTACGAGGTCACGAGTTGGAGCTGATATTATACCTTATGCATAATCATCTGCTGGGAGGGCACTTAGGGATGGACATTATGTTCAATAAAATCCGAAATTTGTATTATTGGCCGCAGCTATATGAAGACATCCGTACATACGTACGCTCCTGCGACCGCTGTCAGAGGAGGGGGAAGAACAATCAGCAGGGACCCCTCCATCCTATACCCATCAGAGAACCGTTTGCTAAGATGGGGATCGACATAGTGGGACTTCTGCCTGTGACCCCCAGAAAAAATCGCTACATAGTGGTTGCCACTGATTATATGACCAAGTGGCCTGAGGCTCGCGCCCTGGGGAAAGCAATGGCGCAGAAGGTGGCAGAGTTCGTGTATGACGAAATAGTATACAGACACATGTGTCCGACGTACCTGCTGTCGGATCAAGAAGCGAACTTCCGGAGTCGCATGTTGAACACGTTTCTGGAAAAGTTCCGCATCAACCACCTCTATTCTACACCGTACCATCCGCAAACCAACGGATTGGTGGAGCGATTCAACCGCACGTTGTGCGAGTCGAATCTGATGATACCATCTGCCCTGTTTGCATATCGAACGGCGCAGCAAGGAACGACGAAGATGACGCCGTTCTATCTAGTCTATGGAAGGGAAGCGTAAACCCCGATTCATTACCAGGGAAGCAGCGAGCAATTAGAGGGATGATACTACAGCGGGTCTTTGATTTGGTAGAGGTGTTGCCGCAACAATAGAAGGACATGATGGTATGCGTAAACATGGCATAGTAAAAGTTAAAAACCTGACATGACCAGAAGCTCCGAATCGAAAGAAGTTTTGCTATAAGAGACAAAGTATTAATGTATAAGACGTCCCAGGAGAATTCGCGAAGCAGTAAGTTAAACCAGAAATGGATTGGCCCATTCTATATACATGAAATCAAATCGGACACCATGTATCATTTACATACGATCGACGGGAAAGTGTTGAAAAAGTCAATAAATTGATGGCTATTAAAAGAGTACAGGGAATCGACAGAGTGTTAGTAAAGACTGTGGTCTGGTTATGCAACCATGTTACTGATACCGATAAAAAAAAAAAAAAAAAAAATAGTAAAGATCACGGTACGTACGGTGTGTGATGATTGCTTATAGTACTCGCGATCAAAAAGGGGAAAGGAAAATGGTGGAAAAAAAAAAAAAAGCGAAATAAAGAGAGATGGGATGGGATGTTAATTTATAATCTAGTGTAGTTAGGACTTAAGCAATGATAGCATTAGATTAGCTTACCGTAGTCAATTTTTGGGTTTTGATTCTCAACCGATCAATTATATTTCATTTACTTCCATATTTTCATATTTATTAGGATATTAATAATACAAGTGTTTAAAGTTTATTTTCATTTCTTTATTAATTAATTAAAAAAAAAAAAAAAAAAAAAAGAGAGAAAAATATATTAATTTAGATTTTACCTTTAATGATAGTTATTTATCTTAATGATTTCTAAAGTTGATTTATCATTTTATACCTTTTGACTTTATTTTTTTTAAGTATTAGTGCAAATGAGTGATTAATTGAATCCATATATAGCTATAGACGACTTTGATTCTTAGAAATAGGAATCCATAGCATATGTCGGTTAAGGACTGGTCAGCCATGAAACACCTTAGGTAATACCTTTGGAATAGGATGGTGTTTGAGGTTATAGCATTCAATTAATTATTTGTTTATATGAATATTTGATTTATCCTTAATTTTTGTTTTGTTTGTTTAAAAACTTTAGATTTTTATTATATTATATATACATTTTATTTTACATTAAACACTGCTGTGACGTTGGGAAGGGTGTCTATTTCTAGGTATTTCATGATGCATTATGTCCCTATATGACCTGACTAACTCTTCTAAACATCTAAATTCCCCAATTAATCGATGTAAAGTTCTTGTCAAAGGATGGTTTTGTCTATAGAAAGTAAATCAAGCCAGTTGATGCCGAATATTTCTATTGGTTTCCCTCATACTTCTTAAGGTTCTTTCTTGAACACGTAAATCATGTTCTAGTTCTATACACCGTTCACATAAGGAGGGGGCAGGAGTCTCTATAGGAGTTGGAGCAGGAGTAGGAACAGGAGGGGCAGCATGAGGAATATGGAAGGGATGACGAATAGTGGCCATAAAAGAATTGGGAAAAATACGATGATAACGACCGCCACGATTATGACGACCAGCATGGCGAGAGTTATTGGCAGACATCTAAAAATTAGGAAGTGTAGAAAAGTCAGTACCTAATTGAAAAGAAAGAATGACTCTGCTAGCGGAATAATCTAGGAATCCGACTAGATTATAACTTTCAACACTTTCGCAAAAAAAAAAAAATAATAATAATAATAATAAATAAAGAAGAAATTGGAACAAAAATTAGGTACCTGGAGAAAGAGATAATAATATGGATGATGGATGATTAATAGTTGTGAACTGAAATAGTTGAGGATATTTGGTTTCCTCTTGTTCCCTTAAATATTAGAAAAGAGGAATACAAAAGGAGTATTTGACATATAAGTCTTGTATATAGTGTAGCAAGCATGGGAATACTGATCTGTGTGAATATAGTGTATCAGCGCGGGAATACTTGCTAAGCTTTGTTCATATTTAACTATTTAGGAAATTATAAAGAAGTTTTGAACAAATAAGTCTTGAATATAGTGTGGCAAGCATGGAAATATTGACCTGGGGATATAGCGTATCAGCGCGGGAATACTTGTTAAGTCTTGTCAATACTTGAGTATTGTTACTAGTTTAGGGAAGTTGATCATTAAAGGAGACGACTATGAAACTTCTAAATTTAGTTATATTATTGTTAATCACTCATGGTACTCGTGATTTAAGGAGGGGGAAATGTTACGGGGAAAAAGTGATGGGTAAATTATAGGAAATTGTAAGGATAAGTATAATAGTAAGTATATTAAATATAATATATATAATATATAAAAAATGTATATAAATAGAAAGAGGAAGATCAGATCTTGTAACAAGTTCTATTCGCATAATAAAGATTGTCTTTTTTGATAAAGTTTGGTTTGGTGAGAATATTCCTAGTGTAGTGCAGTAAAAGAAACTACTGCATGCGAAGTAACTTGATAGAACGCAGACCGACGGACTGATCTGCATTGGCGTTATCAGACTCTGGCCAAATTCACACGCCTCTTTTGAAAAGCAAGAACCCGCCCAAACGTGACATGACGTGAGTCAGACTGAAGCGACTGACTTGCCGTGTTTTCACCGTAACAATATATTGTTATATATAAATAAAATAAAAAATGATATTTGTCTAAAAAAATAATAATAAAAATATAAGTATTTTATATAAATTAGATTTTTGATTAATTAAATAAATATATTATTATGAATCTAAATTTAAAAACAGTTATAGCTAAAAATAAGTTCCTAAATTAAAGACGAGAACATAATTCAAATGTTCTTCATTATTAAAAAAAAACTATTTACAAATGTTTTTTACAATTTAAGCCATTTGATTCAAGTGTTTTTTGAATTATATTCCTATTAAAGTAATGAATAAATAATTATATTCTCTTAAAAGGAATATAATTAATCTGTGAAATTTTATATGCTAAATAATTTAGAAATTCATTTTTAGTTATAGTATAGTTCTTAACTTTATAATACTTTTTATAAAGTTTTGGATTTAATAAGAGTAATAAGCAGACCTGTGGATCCATAGTGTAGTGGTTAACACTCTACAGGTCAAATTACAATATACCAGTTCAACTTCATGTGAAGGTAATTGAATAGAATTAATATGGTATATGGCGCCATAACCTATAAAAGCATTGTTTCTCATGAGAAGCCACTTCACACGCTGATCCAGTGGGCGTTGAGATTATAATTTCCAGAAAAAGTGTCATGGCGCAATGATTATCTGGTTAGTGTTATGATGATCGCCAGAAGTTATAAGAAGTATGAGGTGTCTACTTTTGACAAGTAGATTTGGTAATTACTTCTCTAATATCTGGTGTTTTTCCTGCTGATTCCTGCATGAAGCCTCTCATTCCAATCCAGTAATAAACTGACCTGGTGGTACTTATCCAGAAAAGGCACCTGGCAGTAAGTCCTGTTCAGTATATCGATAAGACTATCCAGGCTAATAAGATCCAGTTATAAGTATTTCCTTGAATGTTCCTAAGTAACATTCAGGCTAGTAAGATCCAATTATAAGTATTTCCTTGAATGTTCTTAAGTAATATTCAGGCTAGTAAGAAATTAAATGGTTAGTTCAGCTGCAGGTAGTGGTAAAGAGATGTAATCTCCGATAGAGATAGCAGGTATCAGGTAGCTTTATTCAACATAAAAAGGATATTATTCCCAGTATGCCTCTTTATCTCCCCTCAAAAATCCCCAACCCAAATAAAGCAATTAAAAACAATTACACTTAATATTTAAGTGCTAGTAGAGTCTTGACATACTAGTATCCTTTTTAGAACTACAGAAGATTACAGGGTTTACAATAGTAATACTGAGCCGTTTAGCTTTTACTTTCTAAATATATACATGAGTCACAATTAAATTTGTAAAACAAATAATGTATTAATCTATAAAGTATAATAAACTAAATGGCAAGACCTTAT